AGTATATCAATTTTCAAATTTTCACTCGAAATTCGTATTGTTCAACCTCGAAAATTCTGTGCTGAACATTTTCAAGCGAATCGACAGAAAAATAAAAACATCGGCTTTCTGTACTATTAACGTGTATTTCCACTTCACCTATATTGCACCGCAAAAAATATCTTCATTTCATGTAGATTTAACGAGATATGTTATGTTATATACAGGAATGTTATAGTTTCCGGATCAGTTTCTCATGCCATAGGTTTCCAATGAGATCTTGATATCGTAGGTCACGGTTAATGATTTATTTCTTCTATGTTAATTAATATTCAGTCAGAACGGTTTTCGTGAACTTTGTTCTTATGGCGAATTGAGATTTCCAAAAAACAGCTTTATTTTTATTGGAACACATGATTGAGTGATAGTCCATTACATTTCGGTGGCAGTCCGTGGCAGTCCGGTGGCAGTCCGTGGCAGTCCGGTGGCAGTCCGTGGCAGTCCGGTGGCAGTCCGGTGGCAGTCCGTGGCAGTCCGGTGGCAGTCCCTGGCAGTCCGGTGGCAGTCCCTGGCAGTCCGGTGGCAGTCTTGGCAGTCCGAGTATGAATGGCAGTCCGGTGTACACAAATTTGCTCAGTGATTTACCCCTCGGTATCTTCAGTATGAAAATAGGAATATGAACGAGCAACAAAAAGTAGATACTTATCCTCGTACTCATTTGAATTCAGAAGTACAGTCGTCTTCTGAGAACATGTTGCGATTGGACGGTATAGCGCACTTATCACAGTGGTGATTTAGAGAGCTGACAACGTCCATGTCCTATGAAGTGGAGTATACAAATATTCGGGACATTTTGGGAAAGCGAAGTCTACCATAGAACGTTGATGAGATGAAATGTATTTGTTCATTTCATTTCAACTTTAACTGCTTGATGGTGATAAGAATTATGTCCAAATGTAAATAGCCGGGAACGAATTTGGAATTATTAAGAGATTAACAGCTACATCTTCCAACAGTCGTCAATTTTTCATTAGTCTGCATCTCATGGGGATGATGAATCTTCATTTATATTGATTATTATGGGTAATATTTGGTAATATCAGGCCAATCTCCCTCTCTGTTAAAAGAAGTTTCTCTAATCGGCCATCCTTCTCTGGTATAAACAATTCCTCCATAACGTTAATCATAGCTCAAGTAGGGGAAGTACCTGGGAGTATCTTAGGTATATTTCAAACAAGTGGAAATCATTTAGACATACAGGGTGTTTCCTAACTACGGTTCCTAACTGCAGGTGGTGATTCGTTAGGTCATTTTAGGGAGAAATATTCATATTAACATATAACCGGAGTTGCTTCGTTCTGAGATAGAGGGCGTTGAAATTAAAGAAAAAAAAACGGTAATTATAATATATCATGAATATTCTAGAACCGATTTGGTTGGAATTTGGTACTTTTATTTGAACTGATAAGGCGCTTATTCCGCCCTATTTAGATTGAAATTATTGGGGCCAGTGGCGTCTCAGGGGGCACCACAGCCAACAATATTGTAAAAAAAAGTACGCCACTGACTTTTTTTATAAATTTTTATTTGTGTGAGATCAGACAATTCAAAATACTACTTTTTGGTCTCTTGTATTTACTCCATATCCAGCTTCGTTTTCGAGAAAAAAAAGACACTCCATATCCATAGAAGATTTGACAAATAAAAGTACCAAATTTGAACCAAATCGGTTCCAGGATATTCATGATATTTTATAATTACCGTTTTTTTTTTCAATTTCAACGCCCTGTATCTCAGAAACGAAGCAACTTCGGACATATGTTCATAGGAACTTTTCTTCTTGAAATGACCTAACAAATCACCCCCTGCAGTTAGGAACCGTAGTTAGGAATCACCCTGTATATGTTTTATGGCGGATTTCGGTTTCCGAAAATGTCCCGGCTATGGTTACTAGTTTTGATGACCCCGCCTCTCAATGTAATAATACAATGGAAAGATATGCATGATGGGCGGTGCAATTATAAAAATATTAATAAATATTTAAGGGAAAGTTATATATTTATCCATATGTATCTTTGTTTTTCAGAACCAAAAGGTATACTACAAATAAAGCATTTGGGAAAATTTAGATCTCATTGAATTTCCGGAATAAATATTTCTGCTATCAGTAATTTGTGATTGTCATAGTTTTGCTATTTTTTGCCAATTTGAAAAAAACATCTATGGAAGCACCTGCCAAGGAAGATTCTCCAAAATTATAGGGCACCCAAGAGGAAAATGGGTTTTATGGAATTTTCAAATGGATTACAGATATATTCGGATTAATTGTGCATTAAAAATATTAGGTACCTACTGGGGTACCTACTTATTCCAGTCCTAATAATAATAATAATAATAATAATAATGTGTCTTTATTCATCATCAATAAGGAAATTACACAAACAAATTAAAAATATGATACATGCAGATGATGAAAAGGAGAGGTTCAGCTATCAAAGCTGCTTTTAAGCATTATTATTAATCTTCAGCAATTAGGCTTTGATCTCTGCATTGATCAGCAATATCAGAAATAAATCAGCATTAGCTAGCATTTAATGCAGAAAATTAGCAATACCTATATATAATTATTTATTTATTTTTTATAAATAATCATAGAACCAACTATGGGTTCTCCAGCCCTTTTTCCCGCATTTTGTGTAATTTCAATGCATTTAACATTGATTGGTTTGTTCAGTCTTTAGCCATATTTAAAAATACAATTTGAACAGTTGATCCTAGGTAAATCAGTCACCATTAATTCAGTTAATACTTTTTTTTCTCTTTTCCCTTCTTTCTTATTCTCTTTGGGCATAATGCAATTTTTCAACCTAATGGCTGTAAATAGGAAATAGTTTCAGCAACAAGATGTAGTGTTTACAAAAAGTTAAATTTATTTCATTGTTGAATTTGTTGTTATTGTCCTTATGCCATCTTGATTTTATATAATTAATTTCTATCATAAAGGTGAATCTACGAAGCCCTGGAAGGGACACAAAATAAAAAAAAATAATACTCTTCAAAATTCCGAGTTATAACTCAGAATTTTAAAATTCCGAGTTATAACTCGGAATTTCACGTCCAATATTCCGAGTTATAACTCAGAATTTTGAAATTCCGAGTTATAAGTCGGAATTTTACATCCAAAGTTCCGAGTTATAACTCGGAATTTTGAAATTCCGAGCAATAAGTCGGAACTTTGATGTAAAATTTCGAGTTACAACTCAGAATTTTGAAGAGTTAATTTTTTTTTATTTCACGTGTCCCTTCCAGGGCTTCGTATGAATCCGTTTATTGAATAAATAAATAATTTTTGGAGCATATCCTCCAGGTTGTTCTTGCCCTTGATAAATTCTGAGGAATTCAATAGTTATTCTTTAAATTCATCACCCTGTTAACTCGGAAATGAAGCAATAATCTCAGACTGGGGTAAGTAGCATTAAATCCAATCTATGTGACTTCTGGAGTCCCCCAAGGGTCCCACATTGGTCCTATACTGTTCTTATTATTCATAAATGATGTCACTGATCTATTTCAAAATTCCACAGTATCACTCTATGCTGACGATCTCAAATTTTATAAAGAAGTAACTTGTTTGAATGACTGCCAGAGTATCCAACAAGACTTGGAGAAATTTTGTAACTCTTGTGAACTAAATTTATTGGATATAAATGTTGGTACTTGAATGCAAGGTGATGCGTTTTTATAGAATACAAAATCCAATTGTATGTGATTATTTTATTGATAATGTCAATTTACAGTCAGTTGAATATATAAGTGATTTAGGTGTTGTGTTTGACAAAGACCTTAGTTTGAACCATCACATAAATAATATTTGAAATAAGGCCTTGAGGATGCTTGGATTTGTAAATAGACACACTCAAAATATATCCAATATTGAATGGATAAAAACCGAGATAAAAACATTATATCTATCGTTGGTATGGAGTATTCTGGAATACAACAGTCTAATCTGATCGCCATTTTATCTTGGTCACAAGGAGAGACTTGAAAGAGTTCAGTATCGCTTTACAAAATTCATAATCTATAAAATGAGAATGTCTTTTCATGGATTTGATGCTACTAGGAGGCTCACAATAGTTAACATTCAAACTGTTGAAGACAGGCGTAAACTTGCTCTGATCTTGTTTCTTATCCTGAACGAATTGTTCATAAATGCTACTCCTAGGAATACTAGAAATAGGCTGTTTTTCTATTTGCAAAATCACCGAACTAATTATGGCAGCACTGCATTCACATCTAAACTTTAGAAGAATTACAATGCTCATTTTTCTTCCCTTGATATTTTCAGTATTTCATTGAGTGGCCTTAAATCACAAGCAAATCACAAGCTGCGGTCTGAATTAGAATTTGTACATACATAGTTTTATGTGTTTTATTTTTGTATCCTATATTTCTATAGTTTCAATGATTTTCAAGGTGTTGAATGTTTATTGTTATATAACTTATATTTCATACTTTATGTACCATTTGGAATTATATATTATTCTGTGGTGTACTTTGATGAATAAATAAATAAAACTAAAATAAATCAGCTCATTTTGAACTCAGGAATATGTGTTGAAATTTAATACAGACCTTTCAGGGACACCCCTGTAGAGTTCCTGGAAAATCTAGTTTCATTATGGGAATTTAATTACTCAAACTCATGAGAATCCTATGGAATTAATGTAGGTATATTTTATGAAGCTAATAAAGGTTGCATTTGTTTCAATGGAATTCCTAGGAATTTTTATGAAAATCATGGAAATTCTATGGAATTAATGAAAATTCTATGGAATTCCAGAAAACTCTTCAAATTCACTACATAGCTGTTCTAGATATTTAGTGAAAGTTTAGAAAACTTCAAATGATCCTATGGAATTTCTGGAAATTCTGTAGAATTCTCTTCCAAATTGAAATGATGTTTGGCATAAACAAGGACATAAAAGTTATGGACCAGGTTTACCCCAGCTTTATCTTACCTCAAGTTCACCATGGAATGTATGGCACTGTGATTGATCAAGGAATCCTTCCTCCTGAAGGACATACTGCAAATATCACACTTATAGAGACCAATCAGAGATTCAGGTGAGCTGGTCTTAGAAGCAAAGTGACTCCTCATGTGTCTTGTCAAATGGTGACTCAGCAGAAAGGTACGACCACATTGCTTACATGGATAAGGCCTCAAGCCAGCATGACTGGTGATGTGGCGAGCAAGTTTGATTGAGGAAGTGAAACTTGCCTCACAATAGTTGCACTTGTGAGGTTTTGAAGCTTGATGTGAGACCTCATGGCGTTCCAGGCCCTGTTTGAAAACAAAGCTCTTGCTGCAGATTTTGCAGGTGTATGGTCTCTTCTTGGTGTGGTTTTCCAAGTGAGCATTCAAGTATTCTTTGGTCAAGAAAGTCTTGTCACATTGTGACACAGTGCAAGCATACCTTGGGGCATCACTATGAACTTTTTCATGTCTTGCTAGTAAAGCATATCTGGAGAAACTTTTGTTGCAGACCACACAAATATGATTTTTTTCTGGATTGTGACTGTCCTCATGTTTCTGTAGATCATATTTATTAAAGAACTTTCTGCTGCATAGTTCACACTCAAAACTACGCTCTCTATCATGGTTAGTGATGTGGAGATCAAGAAGCTGTTTCAAACGAAAAGATTTGCTGCAATGAGGACAAGAGAAACAGTTCTTTATAGGCTCTTCTTCTGCAACTTTTTCTTTGTTTTTATTGATACTATCTAGATCAACTAGTGTGTATTCTTCATCCTCATCACCTCTGATACCTTCTTCATACTCTTGTTCATCTAGCTCTACCTGTTCTATATTTTTGCTAACATGGATCTCTATCTCATTCTCTATGGTGTTTAAATTTGTGTTGTCTTCAAATGCATCCTTATGTGCTTGAATTTTACGTACCATCTCATTTATGTGAGTCTTCTCTTGACGAGGGACATTCATTTCAGTGACTGCATCTATGTATGGCTTTGATAACTGGCCTGTAGCAATAAATAGCTTGAAAGCATCATCTACTTTCTTGCAATTCAACTTGAAGGTATAAGCTTTCATGGTCAGATTTCGACATGTTTTGCATATCATCTGAGGCATTCCATCATTATTGAAAACTTCTATAGCAACACAAGCCATGATTTGGAGAGGTAATGGTATACATCTTGTATCACCATCTAGAAAGACCTTTCCATGTATACTAGATAATTCCGATTCGTTTTCCGAGAAACAGAAACGGCAGATCTTCATTTGTGAGAGGATTGTGCTCCGATCTTCCATTTCCCAGATCCTCTGTTGATGCTTTACAAATACTCCTACTTTGTGCTTTTATCAGAAATGAATGGGATGTTTGATGAAAATAAACCTCGAAATGAACTACTGTTTTGTATATCCACTCATTTGAAATACGATATTTTTGGAAAACATCTTTGACAAAAGGCAAATAAAATAATAATTATAGCCTGCAAATTTAGAAACAATATTTTTTCTTTGATACTGTCTGAGTGTCTACACAACCGCCGCGGCTGTTGGAATGTTGGATACTGATACCAAACAACCGCCCAACCGCCGTGACATAATATCTGACTACCACGACGGTGACTCGGGTTCAGTAACGGTCAGAGATTAGTCAACCGGTTGACTAATATCTGGTAACGGTTCAACCCCTGCGACTCCTATTTTTTTTTTTACAAGTGATTTTTTGAAAAATATTCTCGTTGTACCCCTGCGAGGCCTTTTTTTTACTTTTTCCCAAGTGATTTTACGAGAAATGTATACTCTTTAGAGAAAAGGTTTATTCAAGCCGAAAAAGGTTAGTTCGTTTGTGAAAATCAGTCTCCTTATTCATGTAGGAACGATATTTTCCTACCACATGCTCTAATTTTTTTTCAGAAGTAATTTCTCGAAAAATATACTTTTGTAGAAAAAAAAAGTTCATTTAGGCCGAGTTAGGGTAAGTTTGCTTGAAGGAAGTGTAGTCTTCTTTTTCATGCAGGAACGATATTTTCCTTCATCATGTTTGACGGCGATCTTCTATATAAAAATAGGTGAGCACCAGCGATTGTTTATGAAGCAGTATCAAACCGTCGTGGCGGTTGTGTAGACGAAGCCTTTTTTATGACACTGAATTTGACGCTGACCCCATGCCACACGATGCCAAGGCACAGGCCAATGACGGCTAAATGGACTGTCTGACGGGTTATACATGACTGTTCATTCAGCGAAAATCGCCAAATCGCCCTGTAATGAAATTTTGATGGGACGGCAAGTGGCGTCATCTATTTCCTGTGTCAAATGAGCTATTCAACATAACCTGCATTCATGATCCTGCATTATTTGTTGACAAATTTTCTTACTGTCAGCCTGTCACTCATTGTCACTTGAGATTGAAGAGCTTTGTTCGAGATAACAAGTAAAACTGTGAAAAGGCCAACAAAATGAAGTGGTTAGGAGTGTTCATGCCAAATAACGGTATTATATGCATAAATAATAATGCCATTCAAGTGGAAATCATCTTCGTCAATTCGTGAATAGGTAAGGACATGTTCAATTATTTCATTGATTGAATTTTTAACTGCCTAATAAGAGCCATGGTAGCCCTAACAGGGCCGATCCTAGCGGGTGTGCAGCGCGTGCCCCGCACGCGGGCGGCCAAAACAAGGGGCGGCCGCAGGCCGCATATTGTCCTATCAAACAAAATTATTTGAAACTCATAAGTCGAATGAATATGCTGCATCTTGAATAAATAAAATGATAGTAAATAGTGTGTTGGTCCATTGTCAATTAATGTCTACTTTTTATACACATTCTTATCTTCCCAAATTTTAAATTTCTATTTGAAACAATAACAAAGGGGCATATTTTTCAGACGCCTAAGGATGTTTTGTTCCATCACTATGCGGTAGCTTATTTATGCATTTCTACTACTTACTAAGAGACTATGAGAGAAAATCCCAAAAAATCTGGAAAACATCCACTTGGTTAAACTACAGACACCATTTAAAATACTTTTCACTTGCTCTTCTTATTGTTCTTATTTTCAGATTCCAGATCATTTTATATCAATTACAATAAACTGTAATATACTAATGTGATGAATTTGAATCCCAACAAAAATTTCGCCTGCGGCGCATTTTTTGACATAGGAAAATTTTGTCTGAGTTTCTTGGCCGCTCCCGGTATGCACTGAAATGGAGTTATTACCTGAAAGCATTTGACCTTGAACTCAGAAAAAAATCGCCTGCGGCGCATGAAGATTTTGTCTACATTTTTTTTCTGTGTTTTACTTCTTATCCTTGTACAAGTAGTTGAAGTTATGAAGTCATCAGGTATTATAGTTAAAAAATATGAAAAATCTTCTAGAGGGGCGGCACATTAGATTTATGCACGCGGGCGGCCGACACCCTAGGATCGGCCCTGAGCCCTAATAACCAGATACTGCTGTATTCTCAAAGTGGAATGTACTGCAACATTTCATATTGTTTCACAAAATCTGTGATCTGGAGTAATATTTCTCAATTTGTATTTTCAGGAAGATACTGAATTTTCTCAACACAATGTTGAAGCAGCTGTTCATGAGGTTTGATTGAATGATGACTGGAGACATCCAATTCTGATGATGCTATCTATGCATAACCAGAATATTTACTACATAAGGTGAGCTTTGTGAACAATTGTTTAATTAGGTGAGGGTTCAGCAAAATAATCAGGCATTTTAACTACAATATCAAGTATCTCCATGAATAGCAAATTAAATATCAATTTATCATTTTATACTTATATATTTCATATCAGATATACAGATAAATTTTATTGCAAAATTGATAGAACTATGCCAGCTTCAAAATCATTAAATGTTCTATATATAGCAACATTTCTTTATAGGTTCTGGGGATGGCAACACAATGAATATAAAACGGCTTGGATATGGGATCTTGACTTTGGAGGATAAAGCTAGGTTACCTGGAGATCCTTTGGACACTGGAAATAAAAGAGGAAGATGATATATCATTGTGTATCCCACAATTTCTATTATCTGTTCAGAAATCAGCAGAGAAGAAGCATGTTTTGAGTTCAAATATAAGCTCATCCTCAGCTAATTTAATGGAAAAGGAAATTGTTTATTATGGTGACTGTCTATGGAATAAAATTATTATATTACTTGAATAAATGCTTTCTATACATATCATCTATCTATCTATCAATCCATATTTTTCAACCATTATCAAAACTTTGTGGAGACAGAAATAATTATATGCATTTCAAAAGTTGAGTTTGCACTCTTTTCATCTTTTTAGATCTACTTGGGGAAGCTATAGTTAGTGGGCTAGTATCAGTGGCAACATTTTACCTTATTTCACATACCATCTCATACTTCTATCAAGAAAATAAGAAAGCTATACAGGATCTCATTGATAGATGGGCATACATAATACATAAGCTTGGGCCAAATAATTAATTTAAATTTTTTGTGACAAAATCATCACAGCAGTGAAAAACATTTTTGAAAATCTCTGATAGTATCATTATTCTGTGATATTTGCCAGGAAGCAGGAACACAAAATACCTCGAATTGTAGTTGTGGCACTCGAAAAAACTCCAGATGTTGGCCTGCCTAGACTGATGATTCTCTGGGATTCAAAGAGCATACCTTAAATTCCATTCCTCTTTCATTCTTGGTGTTGCTTTTTGGGATGCCCATCCTGTAGATATATGGTAATTTGAGTTTGAATACATTGCATTGATGGCTTGAACCATCAGGCTCACATGAACCATTGTTTAACAATACTACTCCTACCCTACCTAGCTATGCAACAACAATGCAGACTAAACATACCTTGAAAATTATGGTAAGCGATCCTTTCTAAATGTATGTCCCCATCCTGATAAGTCGCCATATGTAGTGCTATTGATCATCACTCTAGTGTCTTCCAAAATCATTGACACCAGAATTAACACCAGTGTTATAATGGTGGAATCGAGGCTGAAATTGAAAATCATCAGGAAAGTGTACATGAAAAATCATATTCTTACCAATGCCTTCCAAAATAAAATTCGACCATTCTTGCTGTGGAGTTTATCACTGGTTATGAGATTCGAAAAAGCGAACCCCATACCCCATATTTGATACGATTATTCATACATTTCATTTCATATATGCTAGAAGGCTGTAAATACATGATGAAGACACACTAGCATAACTAAACACAAAGAAGAATGCTTGATTGAAAATTCGAAAAAGTAAAGGAATTTAAATTTATCGATATTCAACAGAACACATCAGGGACCTGACAGTGACACAGTTTTGACATTTGATAATAATTCAATATAACCTATGTTATTGGATTAGGCAATCCAACGACCTGTCAAATAATTTCAAAATGGCGTCTGGTTGGCAAATAAACCAAAGTCAAGTTTGTTTACTTGAGAACTTCGTGGGTTTTGGAAGCCTCTTACAGTATTATTTCATCGAGTTTCGGCTAGATTTATTGTGAATAATGAAAACTCAGTATGATTTCAAAGAAAAAATTGCCAGTAACGTGAATTGTGGTGGATTGTGGAAGCAGTGCAGATCGGGACCATTTGCTGTTTTGTCACATTCCTACTGTAATACTGTGAAAAACTCTGAGCATTACCCACAGATGAAGGATCTATCAAGAAAAATAAGGGAAATGTGGATAGCAGCCATCAAGAGAAAGAATCAGCAACAGAATCAATCATAATAAACCAGAGGATATGTGTCAGACACTATTTTCATAACAGGTACCTAAGAAAAAGGATTTTAATATTATTTATATGTACCTACCTACTCTAGAACTGATGAGTTTAGTGTTTCATCCTATGGAAAACTTATCTTTTTTTCATTTTGATAAAATAAACCAATACTCATTAGTTTTAATGGACCTACATAGTTTGGAAACATCATGTTTCTAATACATAAATGAATCATCTACCTTGTAGGAGAACGTAGTGCCTGAAAGATGAGAATATCCAGCTTGGGTCCCATTGCAATAAAATATGGGTCATCAATCTCTTGTCCATTCGAAATATGCAAGACTGATGTGGATCAAAAACTGAGAGCAGACAAAAGGTTCAAATCATGAATCAAGGATCAGAACCGAGAGACCTGGTATGTTCTCAAGAAAACACCTAATTACCTAATACTACTACTACATCATTTTTTATTTATTTTAGTGTAATGAAGAAAGTGTCCTGGGAGATAAAGAAATAGAAGAGAAAATTGGTGAAAACAAGGTGAAAATTCACAAGATTATGAGTACTTTTACAAATTACAGTTTGTTGTGATTTATTTTTATCATTTATAAATGTAAGACAAATAAAGTAAGATTATCAAAATAATTGTGATATTCATTAAATGAAAAATACATTGTATTATTCCACTATATTACAAAAGATCTACATGAGTCATGAAAAAAATCTTCATAGAACATTATAGTTATTCAGTGATCTGATTGAAACAA